TTGCATTTAACCTTAAGAAAATCCCAATGGGAGAAAAATTAAAGAAATACAATTTTATGATAAAAAGTAAAGTGGTGTTAGACATACTTAATAATGCCTTGTAAAAAACTTTGTCAAGGAAACCAATAAGACAAAACCTAGTCAAGGGAAAAGAGTGAGTGCACATATATTCAATAAAATAGTCATTTCCAAACTCCCCCTAATCGATGCTCCCCTTGATCAACGCTCTCCCTTATAATGACAAAATTAACTTGGTTATTTATTAAACTGTTGCATACCGAAGTCATACACTAATTTTTCATTTGATCACTAGAATTGGAACCCTTTTCTGCAGTTTTACCTGGGAGTCTTCTCAAACATATTTGATAAAATTGAGAAATAGGCCATGACGTTAGTCTGTGACATTGATACCATGATAAATTTTGATAGAGTAATTTTACTAAGTCAAGAAAGTGCGAGGAAATGCAAGAAAATACAAAGAGTTTGAGAGAAAATGACCAAACTTCAATAAGATATTCTCTTTAAGAACCAAAATGAGCTTTTATACAACAATGAGGCGGTTATTAGAGATCTACCAAACTGACGTGATCTAAGCTTTTATACAACAATTTTTAGCGCGTCCACTACAAACCCAGAAGCTTAAACCATTTAGATTTTACAACCAAAGAAGCAAGCTTAATCGATCTTAATAGCTTAAGCATTGTGTTTTGATGTTGAACGCATCATTTTATTTAAGATAACTAATGGAACCAAACGAATCTACTCATTCCATTAATTCAAGACACCTTATAGGCTTATACCCATCTTCTGTTAACACATTGTTAACCATCAACTAACTTCCTTTTAAAACACAAGCTTAGTTCTTCTGTTCTTCAGTTTTAAATTTTGCTTCTCCTGCTTCTTCTTTCTTTACATTAACGTGTTTGGATATCAGTTGTCCATCTACATTATTAATATACAGTTTACATTTGATGATTTGAGTAGCCATAAGGATGATGAGCTAAAGAAATTTTTATCTTAACGGCTTCAATGCTAGTCATAATAGATATAAAAATGCAATTAAAATTTTGCATCATAATCAAACCAAAAATATAAAATTAAAAAAAAAAAAAAGCTAAACAGAAATCTCTCAAACCCTAAAACACATAACCTAATAACCTATCTCGATAGTTGCCAACTACTGCTATTGGTTCTAAACACACGACCATTGCACGGCTGCTAGAGTCGATTGAGCCACCAACGCGATAAGCCCGTTGCTAGTGCAATAAGCTCCAGGCAATCGGATTGCCACCAACTTGAAAGGCTTCTACCGATCGTGTCGCCGCTAACGGTGAAGATTTCAACGATCATGTCGTTGCTAACTGTGTGACCACCACAAAAGGTCTCTATCAATATACATTAATTCACCCCGGTTGATAGATTTTTAATCTGACAATTTGTAAGTAGTTACGTAACATCATGTCCTCATGCTTGGTAAATATAATATTTATATAAATTTTGCTATTTATGTTTTGATTAAAACTGATTTATTTGAATATAATAGAAATTGAATTGGTATTATTGTCTTCTGCAAAGCATATCAAGGTGCGACATCGAATGGAGGACTGGGGTAATGTTTCCTATTGGGTATATTCATGCATGCGACATCTTCTACAATTACTTGTAGTCATGCACAGATGTAAGGCTTTAGCATGCAATCAGCAGAAATTTTTAATTTTGAGAAAGCATGGTTTATTTTTTTTAAATTTAATTATTTTTAGCATTTATTCTACATGTAGGCCAGTTGATGTTTGTTCTAAACAAGGATTCCTAAAAGAATTTCATCAGTTTCCTAAAAGAATTTACCCCTTTTTCTATACAGATAATTACCTGTTCCTATGAAGTCATTCTTCTTGTCACAGAGTCAATTGCTTTATCTTAATTAATTGGGTAATACTGTAGTGTTTTTTTTGGACAAATCCTGAAATTGAATATAAAGAATAAAAAATACAAACACCAGGGAAGCTCCCCTAAGGCCAAGAGAACAACTTGAACATGCCCAAGAATTCAGCTCAACAAAGGCCAAGAGACACTAGGCCTAACTAACTAGCCTAACTAGACCTTTCCAAACACTAAGCTAAAAAAGCTCAAAAACTATACAAAAATAACAAAGTCCACTTCATTCGGGCCAAACCATTAATCCAGCTAATCAGATCATTTTCCTTTTGAGAGTTGCCCAAACCATCACTTGGGCGGATGGTCCAGCATCCATTACTGTCCCACAACCACAAGCCCAAACCACAACAGCAAGACAAAACACCGAGCATCCACAACATAATTTACATCCTCAATAAGACAATAACCACAACATCTACCCTCTCAAGTCTCCTCCTAGCACAGCCCCTCTGCCCCTCCATGAGGAGAAGATCGTATCTTGAAAAAATCCCCCAGCCCAGGATCCACAAGATCCTTAAATCAGCCATAGTTTTGCTTCTCCTGCTTCTTCTTCTTTCTTTACATTTACATGTCCATATATATTATTAACATTTGATGATTTGAGTAGCCATGACGATGATAATTTGTCAATGATTGTTTAGATCATAATAAATTTAAAGCTATTAAAACCATACAATTTTATTACTCTGTATAATTAGCACAAATGCATATTCCAAGTATACACAAATCCATCGGCAAATAATTCATATGCAACTAATAAATACAATCCACAACAACAGATTGAAAAAGAGCCTCCACTGCAGCTGAAATCATTCTCAAATGAGTAAAGACAGCCTTAATTTCTATTACAATTCTATAGCAGCAATTCACATATAAGGTAAAGCTGAAGCAGAAAAACCAAGATGGAAACAAAAGGCCCTTCTACACTCTGACTTCAGCAAACGGAACACAAACTATAAATAAAAGAGGACTTGCTTCAGTAAATATAGAGCTTTTGACAACAACAGAGACTACTTTTGAAAAGACAATTTCATCAACTAGCATCGTAATACAATAGAAGTTAATTACATAGACACATTAAGGCACCCACAAATTCACACTTAATTAAGTCATCAATAAAATACACAGCAACTAAATGAAAAACAACCTCCACTGTTCAAATCAACCAAGGGCCATAATACCTCACAAACCATTTAGATAAGAGGCCTTAATCCGGAGACTGCATCAAAGTTTGACCTGACTTTTTCCAGAACTCTTGATATTCTGTAAATATAGAAGACAACAGGTATAAAGTGAACGCAGACGCTATAGGGAAATGTTATTTTGAGCAATAAATTGGTGATAGTTTATCAAAGAAAAAGAAAATGTTTCCATGATCATGAAGTTTTATTGTGACCTCTAAATGACCTTTATGCTACTACATTAGAATGGCCTCTAAATGTAGCTTTTGTATTCTTAAAGAGTTATTAACTCAAATAGAGATAAGGCATGATATAAAACAAATATAAGATTAAGATGCGGTCATGATAATGGACTACTGTCCTATTTCAAATGCTAGGGGGAATAGGAGGATCCAAAGAAAAGTAATTTTTAACTAAGTACTTACCTCTTTCTTGTGAAGATGTTGTACAGTTGTGTTGAGGTCACCTTCCCAATACTCTTCATTGACAAAATAGATCTGCTTTACTCTGGTAAACTTTCGTGTGCTCATCCTGGGGCATTTTTTCACCACTATGTACTACAATCAGGGAATTTCAAGGTGTGATTCTCAGAGCATCTGATCTTTCCCCCTTCAATCCTTAATTTGTGAGTCGCAGGTGCAGATTTTACACAGATCTACACCATTGTTTTCCAAACTAAATCTGCATTCTCCTGTGAATATTTTCTGTATCTATTAGGCTTTGATAACAAGATGTGAGCAAACAAATTAAACATGAAACATTGACAACAACAAGACAACAAAACATCATAATACAAAAATAGCATCATAATACACCAGAAGTCCGTTACACCAAAACTATAGCATTACAGCAAAAGATTGGGTGCCATCACAACATAATATAAGATTTAAGTGGAAACAGCTTCCAGAAACCAATTTCACCAAATAGCATCATAATACACCAGAAAGTCATCACATAAACATATATATTGCAAGGCACACACAAATTCAGACATCCATAAGCACATAATTCATACTTTAAAGTAATGTATACGATGCACAGAAACTGAATGAAAAATAACCTCCACTGTTCTCAATTCAACCTTAAATGAGTCAAGAAAATAAGTTCTGAAACATGTACTTCAGAAGCTGCAATTCACAATCAAGGAGAAGCAAAGCTGAACAATCAAGATAGAAACAAACACCCTTCTAATTGCCGACTTCAGCATGGGGAACATGAGCCATAATGACTTACAAACCACTTAGAAAATAAGCCTTTTTCTGGAGATTTTAAATTCATGATAATTCGTCAAATCATGATCATGGCGTTATAAGGTAGTAAACTAAGGTCGACTCTAAATGACCATCACGCCGCTCTTAACTATTAATTGTATGGTGATGTTAGTACACAATACTGACAACAGATAGGAAAGAACCTCCACTGTTCAAATCAACCTCAAATGAGTGAAGGAAGCATTAAGTTCTGTATCCATTTTCAAAGCATCAATTCACAATGAAGGAAAGCTAAAGCAAAAGAATAAAGATAGAAACAAAAGGCTCTACCCTTCTCTGACCTCAACACAGTGAAATCGAGCCGCAACAATGCCACACAAATGAGCCCTTATGCAGGAGATTTCGTCGAATATTGACCCAAATCCTTTTCAGAACTCGGAATACTCTGTAAATATAGAGCACAACACATTTAAAATAAAAACAGAAACCGCTAGGAAATTATATTTTAAAAAAACAAATTGTTGATAATTCGGCAAAGAAAAGGAAGTTGGAAGATAAAAAAAAATGTTTCCATGATCATGAAACTTGATGGTAGTATATATCAAGAAAATGACCTTCACAATACTGTTAAATTAAATATATTTGTACCTTTTGTCTACTTAAGAGTTATCATATACCTTGAAATTCCAAGGCTCTAATTCAAATGATGAGTGATGGAAATAAGCGTTGTTACATTTTCACACCAGCAACATCTCAATGAAGGAAAGCCCAAAAGCAGAACATTGGAGTTGAAAAAAGATGGCCCTCTCATTGTCTGACTTAAAGCAGAGGAACACGAGCTGCAATGCCTCAAAAAACTACATAAAGGCCTTACTACTTGAAGTTTGACCTAAATCAGCGTTTGATACTGTGAACGTTCTGAATCTTTGGCAAAATGTATTGGAAGTGAAAAAGCATGATCAGTGGAGAGATGTCTTTAAACTGCAAACTGATGATAGTATTTTGATTGAAGAAAATTGAAAATTTGAGTAAATATTTCTATATAACCATATGATGTTTTATGGTGACACGTTAAGATAATTACCAGTTCTGATATAGTAGTTGCTGTATGCTCAGGAGTTTATTGATTCCCCCATAGATGTCTCACATGATTTATCATCAATTAAAAATCAGGCTATGAGTAAGACTTACTGCTCTGTTTACAGCCATTTAATACATTAATAATGCACTGATCTGTTTATGATAATCTCAAGTGGAATAACTAAAAACTCACCTCAGGCGTGCTCTAGATATGACAGATATATGTAGTTCAAGCACTTTTGGAAGAGCTGTCTGGAAGTTCTTGACCTACCTGTAATGTAGAGATATCAAACCAATAAATGTTCAAATGAGTCCAACCAAATCCTTGAAACAATTCAAACATCGCCAATATTAATTATTCTAAACATTTTAGGATTACAATTGTTCTTTTTTTCATGGATACATTTCATAATCTGATTGTTTACATATGTTTGTGGGTAAGAGCTCATGTGTGTTTCGAAATTTCTTGAGACTTGCAACAAAGACAACACAATGGTGCTTACAACAAAACAATGAGTCTAGCATAGGGTGGCTATGAGATATAAGCAATTGAATTGGTTTGTGTGATCAGTACAAAGATGAAGATTAAGTGGAATGATTATAACAACTTTTGATAACAATTTCACCAAATAGAGTCATCATTCATCAAAGATTTGTCAATACACATTTTCCAAGGTAACAAAAATTCATAATTCACACATTCATTCATTTAGACACATAATTCATACTCACGTCATGAATACAGAGCACCACAGCAGAATTTAGAATGATTTATACCAGCTTTTGAGGAACAAAAATTTATGAAATAGATTTATAATACACCAGAAGTTCACTACATTGGCAGATTTTGAGACACGCACAAATTCACATATCCATAAGCACATAATTCATACTTCTAAATATTGAATACAATGCAAAGCAACAGAATGAAATACAACCTTCACTGTTCAAATCAACCTCAAATACGCGAAGAAAATAACGTCTCTAAAACTTTCAAAGCAGAATGAACAATGAAGATAGAAAATAAATATCCTTCCACTCTCTGACTTTAGCATAAGGAGCACGAGCTACAGAATACCTCACAAACCAGTTACAAAATATAGCTTTATTCCGAAGATTGCATCGAAGTTTGACTTGAATCTGATAGATACCTTCCCATACTCAATCAAACCACAACAATAACAACAACAACACTGTAGCCAAACCCAAAAAGTAACAGTAAGTCTATTTATATTCTAGCAAACCAAATACACAAAAGAATTAAACTTAACAATCACCTCTCCGCTTTCTCTTTTTTGAATATCCTCCCCAATTCTCCCTATCTCCTTTTATTCCATTCAGACTCTTATCCAGAACAGAATTCCCCAGTTAACCATACTCTTATTGCCACCTGTCCCACACAATTCTTGCTTAGCATTCACACACCTCTTATTGCCACTTGTCCCACATAATTAATTCTTCCTTAACATTCACACGCCTAGGAACCCTTTTGCCCAACTACTAATAATCCTTGACTACCCATTCCTACGCTTCCTACTATAGACCAACACATCAGGTGTTTCATCAAAATCATTTTCAGAATTCTGATCACTCTATAAAGGTAGAATACAACACGTTGAAAGTAAAGATTGAGCTATAGAGAAAATATTATTTTGAACTACACATCAGCCTCATGACCTTCATTCTGCTATTAAATATAAGCTATATCGCATTGAAATATATATTTAATATTATTTTATCAGGTATTCCAATGTTAAAAGGGAAAAAGAAAATAAAAAATTAATTGTTAACAGAATACGTACCGCTTTCTTGAATAGATGATGTATAGTTGTATTAAGGTCACCCTCCCAATGCTTTTCTTCGGCATACCAAGTCTCCTTTGTTGGAGTTGTCGACTACTTCAGCATTAATGGGTAACGGAGACGCACTTGGGGGTCCCGGTGAGCGGGCGGGGGTCGCGGGGGCAGCGCCCCCGAGCCCGTAGGCGGTTTTGGGCTTTTCCATGTATAACCGCTGTAGGATTCCTTTTAAGTTATTAATTCTTTTTTGGGTTGGGCTTAGGAATAGGAATTCTTGTAAAACTAGGTTTAATCCCTTAAACCTAGTATATAAACATTCTTTTCTCTTGTTATGTGTGTGAGAACAATTCATTCATTGTAAACGAGAGAGGTGAGGTATATTGCAATAATATTGACTCAGCTGGACGTAGCCTACATTGGGTGAACCAGGGTAAATCGCGCGTATTACATTCTTTGTTTACTGTTTGTTTTGTTTAACTATTATTATTTTGTTCCTGTTGCTTCTCTATTTCGTTCATCCTTCACTTTGGCCAATTTTGGTGTGTTTAAGACTCCTCTAGAGAAAGTGTTCATCTTGGGGCATTTTTTCACTGTCATCTCTTCCAAAGCTGGGAATTTGAAGGTGTGATTTCCAGAGCAAAAGCTTCTGAGGCTTTCTAAATTAAAAAGTGATAGGGACTTTAATTTACTAAAAACAATTTCATCTTTTTCAACATCTCCTGTATTTGCTACTATTTCAACCATCAACTCACAGTCTTCGATAATCATCTTTTCAAGCTGCACCATACTTTTGGCTGCTGAGGATGTTACTAAGTTTTCCAATCCATCACAATCCCGTACAAACCAGAGTTATTAGATTGTCAAAAGATGCTGAAGATGGCACTAGATTAATCAAATTGTGACAATGATACACTGATAGCTCTTCAAGATTTCGAAGAATTGAGACCTGATGAGAATCTTGTTTCCACATGTGCTTCAAATTGAAAAGTCTCCGAAGCTCTAACTGTTTTATATGTGTGAGCATCCCAATATGTTTCTCACCCTCTCCACATGAAAACAACTCTTGGTATGAATTTCCTTTTAATATGAGTCTTTGGAGATTGTTAAATCTCTTAAGGATTTCAATGGGAATATTTGTTGGTTCATTTTGAATAACATTAACAACTTTCACTTTGGAAAATCGATGTTCTGGAAACCGATTTGGCCACATAGACATGATGTCTTTTCCACTTAATGTCAATTCCTCAAAATTGGAGTTTACCTAAAGTTCAATCATATAAATCATGTCAAAACAGATGTTCCCTTAAACAATTTTACGCAAAATTAGAAATTTGTATATTTTCAACAATAACAAAGAAATATCATAAATCTAAATTAAAAGAGATGAAAATGATTAAATTAACAGTTAGCAATTTACCTTCATTATATTTTCCTTCGACTGGGTTTTGTTTCTCTTGAATGAAATATTAAAGATCTAGTGTACTACATGGGTTAGGGAAATTAGGATTCAATTTAATATTAAGTAATAATTTTTTCATTTGTTTTATTAAGTAATAATTTTTTTCATTTGTTTTATTGGTGGTCATTATTTGTTTTAGTGTTTTATTTGTTACTAAAAACTTAACTCTTGTTTATGTATATATAAATATAATCATTCAAATGGAGACAAACTATTTTGGAAATTTGGAGGAAATTAATGAGATTAATATAAAAAGAAGTGCATGAGGGTGTAGTTAGCAGGAGTGGGGTGGGTGCGCCACCCTTTACTCTTACTTTTCATTTGTTTTAGTGTAATTAGTATTCATTTAAATTAATTTGATTTTTTTAATATTTTATTATGTTAATGTAAATAGGATTCAGTCAATATTTATAATCTAATTAACAATTATTTTAAACCTTTTCCAAGGGTAAAAAGGTCCTCAAAACACAAAATGGTAAAACTTTGGACTAATTAATGTGCTAAAATTTGGGAGCTAAAAAGATGGGGAAGTAATTTTAGCCCCACCCAGTTTATTAGGATCCCCACTTTTGAATAACATTTTTTTTGACAAGTTTAGCCTTAAAGAAAATTACTAAAAATGTTTTTTAATATTTAATTCTTACATAAATGTTCATAATCATTTAAAATATATTATTAAAATTGTAATTGTACACCAGAATGAATCAAAAGAAGTAAAGGTAAGCTTCCAATATGAAGATGAACCAAATTTTTAAAGTGCAATAAGCATCAAGCTGGGCCAACTACCGGGAGCAACCCCACGAAATTGCTATAGCCCTCGAATGGTACTACATTTTGATATGTACCATTTTCAAAAAATATTTATATTTTTTAAAATTGAATTAGTTTTCCTTTTAAAATTTGAACTTTCTATATTCTTAAATTTATGCATTTATGTTTTATATATATTTTGAAACTCAATATTTGTTTCTAATTAAATATCTTTTAGAATCATATTATCAAGATTTCATTGAGCGTTCATGGAAATAAGAAATTTAGAGATAAATAATTCTTAACAAGACAAGTACCTTTTTTTGTATAATTGTTGTATAGTTGTATTAAGATCACTCTTCCAATATCCTTCCGTGTCCCCCTTGTGCTTCTTTACTTTTTGTAAACATGGTGCACTTGTATCTCCTTTAGAGAAAGTCTTCATGTTGGGGCAGTCTCTCACAATTAATTCTTCCAAAGTTGGGAATTTGAAAGTGAAATTCCCATAGCAGAAACATATGAGACTTTTTAAACAGAAAAGTGACAACAACTTCAATTTGTCAAAAGCAATTTTATCTTCCACTCCAACGTCGTCCTCATCTGGTACCACTTCTATTAGGCTATCACAAAACCCAATTTTTACTTTCCTCAATTGCACCATGCTTTTGGCTGTTGAGGGTGTGAATAATTTTATCAATCCCCAGCAACAACTTATGCTCAAAACTGTTAGATTTGCAAAAGATGCTAGGGGTGGCAGCACACATCTCAATTTGACACAGAAATCTACTTCTAAAACCTCAAGATTTTGAAGAACAAAGTCCACTTTGGAGTCTTTACTCCATATGTTCTTTAGATTAAAAAGATTATCCAACTTTAAACTTTTGATCTGCATCAGTGTTCCCGCATGTCTATTATCCAATCCATATGAGAATATTTCTTTGTATGAACTAGAACTTAGTACGAGTTTTTCCAAATCAAAAGATTTCTGAAGGATGCCAAGTGGAATATTTGTTGATTTATCACCTTTGATCTCAACAGTATATTTGCAAGAGAAGTTTTTTGGAAGTAAACACTGCCATGTCATCATGTTGTCTGCTCTTAATACCAATTCCAATTCCTCCAAATTGGGGCTAATCTACAAATCAATCAAACAAAATCAAATCAACACCCAAAAAAATAAAATCCTTTATTTACAAGTCTGCCATTACTGGTTTTATTTTCAAAGTTTTTGATAAATTGTACAACAAAAACGTTGGCATTTTTATTACTATGATTTTTCGAATTTTTTTTAAAGAATGATGCTAAAAACAAATTATTTATTTTATTCTAATCTTAATTTATTTTAGAAATGATTTTTAATTAACAAAATTTATTAAACATATTTCAATTTCCTTGGCCTATGAATTATATAATTCCAATTAAATTAGATTTGTTGATGCTTGCTTTTTGTCTTCTCTAGGTTGAAGTAAAGACATTTAGATACCGATAAACAAAAAGAAAAAATTAACTAAAATTTTTTATAATTTTGTGTATAAAAAGTGCTCTTTATTTTCTGAACACAAAAACCTTTAAAGAAGAAAAATGGCTCATACCTTATTTTCTGAAGTTAGTATTTGAAATTTGTCACAATCATACACTTCCAGCTTCTTTAACTTGGGCCATGGCCAGTCTATAGCATGTATCCCAAGGCACAAAGTTGTAAGCTGTGGTAAGTCATTAAGTTTTAAGAAAGCTACATGCGGAAAGTCAAATTTGGCATTTGTTTCTTCTCCTTGTTCTCTGCTAACAATCTCCATTAATTCCTTACAACTGCTTACCTCAAGGTGTTAGAGTTGCTTAAAGCTTTTGATCATTGAAGATGGAAATACATATTTTATTTTTTACACTCCTCCAATACCAAACGAGTCAACTTTCGGGAGCAAGAAGATGTTTTCAAAAGTTGAGAGATATTTTCGGTATTGGTTCCATGCAGTTCTAAGGCCTCCAAATTGGGTAAAACAACCTGCACTCACAGTTAATTGATTTTCGTTTTAGTATTTTTGTGAAAGTAAATAATTAATAATTGTTTCTTATAGTTGTATCACATGCCAATTTTATTGGAGGTTTGGCTAACCTTTCAAACTGACACGTGGCATTTTTTTCTCTTTCAAAATCTACGCCCATTTACCAATCCACTTAAACAAACAATGAAAGCAAGAGTAATGTTGCATATACAATTATTGATACAAACTATTTTTAATTTATCTTTAAATTAAAGTCTTTCAATCATCTTAAAATACCTCAATTTGAAAGAAACTTTGTATAAAAAGTTTCTACACAAATATTATTGGAAAAAAAATGTTTTTCCTTTATTTAAAAGTCTGCTATTAGTCTTTCATTTGCACGATAGAAAACTATTAAAACAAAAATGAATTATATTTTAACCGTTTATGAGAAATTTACTTATTTTTTTATTTATTATCGAATAAAGAAATCATACCTTGTATTCTGAAGTGGACATTTGTAGTTTGTCACAGGTAGACACTTCCAACTTCTTTAAATTGGGCCATCCTGAAGTGTGCATTCCAGGGTAGAAAGTTTTAAGTTCTGCTAAGTTTTCTAGTTTTAGGAATTCTACCCATGGAAAGATAAATGGAGGAGACATTTCTGCTCTTTCTTTGGCTATAATCTCCTTCAACTTTTTACAAGAATTTATCTCAAAGTGTTGGAGTTGTTTAAAGTTTTTGACTATAGAAGATGGGAATACATATATTAGTGTTTCAATGTCCTTGATGACCAAACTAGTCAAATTTTGATAGCAATCTGACATTATTGGAAGTTGGCTATCCCATATCATTTGAGAATTAATTGCATGCAGCCTGACATCTTCCAAATTGGGGAAAACGACCTGCACCAAAGTTAATTGTTTCAGTAAGTTTCAAAGTCCGTTTTGTTAAAAGCTCTTTTCATAAATCGATCAATACTAAAAAATTCAGCATTCTTAAAAATACCAAAAAAAAAAAAAAAAATTTAACATTATTCTTTTATTCATTTTCAAAAGATTTTATCAAATAAAACTTTATATTATAAAATTCATTATTTTGCATCAGATAGAAAGTAAGTTAATATACTTGAGAAAAATATGTTTTAAATTGCTCAATTAGAATTAAAATTTGAAGTGTTTTATAAATCCTAACCAAAATGTAAAACACGTGTGTATGTTGAAGAGGCTAGTGACAGTCTCTTGCAATACTTGTTAATTTTTTTATTATTAAAGAAACAAAAAAGGCTCATACCTTGTATTCTGAAGTGCAAATGCGTAAATTCCGACAATTAGAAACCTCCAACCTCTTTAACTTGGGCCAACTTGAAGTGTGTATTCCAGGGTAGAAAGTTGTAAGTTTTGGTAAGTCTTTGAGTTCAAGGAATTCTACCCTTGAAAATATAATTGTAGCAGCTGCTTCTGCTCCTTCTTCTTTGTCAACAATCTCCTTTAGTTCTTTACAACTTTTTATCTCAAGATGCTGAAGCTGCTCAAAACTTTTTACCATAGAAGATGAAAATACATATTTTAGTTTCTCCATATCTATAATGATCAAATGTGTCAAACTTTGATAGCAAGAAGACATTATTGGAAGTTGGTTGTCCCAGATCATTTCAGAATTAATTGCTTCCAGTTCTACGGTCTTCAAATTGGGGAAAACAACCTGCATTCAATGAAGTAAAGATGCAATAATTGTCCCTAGGCCCAGGGGTTAAGAATCTTAATAAGGAAAACTCTACCTGTCTAACATATGCAAACATTTGAGGTACGTGTCCATACAAAAACTTTAGCATGTCAAAATTAAAATCATTAGAAGAATTTATGAAAAAAGATGAGAAGAGTAATCTTATTTACATTATTTTTTATTTAGTATATGAGATTTTTTCTTTTTCTCTTCTTGTCAATGATGAATTTGTTTCTTATATGTGTTAACAAAAGACAATAAATATTAAAAGAAAAAAATATATTTATAATAGATAAGTATAAATTTATTGTGAACCAAACCTTTCCATTAAAAAGTGGTGTGAAAGTATCATTGGATTGCAAATTTGTTGTTGATTCTTTCTGTCTCATTGGCAATGTTGAAGGTGTCTTTACTTTTGAGTAGAAACTTGCAATCCTTGGAAGTTTCCTCAAAGTCTTCTTTCCAATGGCTGATTTGTATTTGTTGTCGCAGAATCTTTCTGTTTCTTCTTCTTGACTTTGGCCAACATCTTCCAAAATTATTCGAAGCCAAATTGCTTGAGAAGTTGCCATTGACGCAGCCACATATTCTGCCTCTGCTGAGGATTGAGCTACAGTTTGTTGCTTCGTGGAGGCCCATGAGAATACACCTGACCCGAGAGAAAATGAATAACAAGATTTCTCATAGCATCAGCCGATCCAGCCCAATCGCTATCACTATATCCAACCAACTTAAAGTCTGAAGAGTAGTTGTACCAAATTCTATAGCCAATAGTCCCTTGCAAGTATCTTCATAGTCTTTTTGCTGCTCCAAAATTCATTTGGCTTGGGCTTTGCATAAATCTGGATAAGAAACTTGCTGCAAACATGATGGAGGCACCAGGAACCCTCTATATGATGAGGACAATGAAGAGTCCACTGGCATCTGGAGCAGTATATGTAACTTCAAGGTATGCCACTAGACCAGGTGCTCGTTATAAAGGCTACGAACAGCGGGCGTGGAGTAACCCAAAGCGAGTCTTGCAGGTCTAGTCGCATACCCCTATCGTCTTATGTTGCAGTGGGCGAAGTGTTACGTGTCATGCCAAGATCGAGGAACTCTTCTTCCCTTAGTTCGTAATTGATAGAATTTAACTCTCTTAATTATTTCATTGTTATTGACATTATCTTCTCTTTCTGCAATAAAAATCCCTTTCATATTCTTGCAATTTGCCACGTGAATTGTCTGAAGATGTGGAAGGCTTCTGCAATTGGAGGATGAGAAAATATTCTTCAATTTAACACAATGCGCCACTTCTATGATTTTTAAGTTGGAGAAAGAATCTATTGTGGGTTGACCACAACATATCTTCTCCAAGTTAATCAAATTGAAAAGAATCAATGACTCCAAGGCAAGGAAGGCATCATGAGGTGTGCACTTTATTGAATCAACGATACACAAAACGTTAGGATTATTGTGAACACAAAGATGTTTCAATTGTGAGAAACCCTCTTTGTCTAAATCAAAAACAACATTATTGATCCCTTCCAATTGGTCTAAGCATAAGCACTCAACATTCTTGAAACCTTGCAGATTGTCTGACCAAATGGTAGAATTTAGCTTTAATTTCAATTTCCTAATTGAAGTGATTGGCTTATCATAACTGAAGCTCTTAATTCCCATTTGCTTCAAATCAGAAGATATAAATGAATGACCAAACTTAGACCACCCAGCTCCTATTGATATTCGATACCTATCTAGCTTTTTGGTGAACAAGCATTCTGGCACAATCTCGTCATCTTTAATGTCTATTTCTAAAGTGGTAAGCTGCAGATGCTTCAACTCCTCAAGACTGGCATCATTTCTTTGAATATTGAATCCGTCAACCTCCCACAAAACAAGACATCCATTCATGTACAACTCTTCCAATTGGACTAAATTTGATAACACGTTTGGGGCGATAACTTCTAGTTGATCACAATCGCTTAAATCTAACAACTTTAATTGAGTTAATTGACCTATTTCCTTAGGCAGTTGCTCAACACTTGAACCTCGTAAGCTAAGAATTTTTAATTCCTTTAACTCTCCAATGATTGCTACATGTTCAAATTCACTATAATCCAAACACAATGTTTGAAGGTTTACTAGGAGACCAAGCGACGACTGCAAAAAGGAAAACTGCATTCCATCCAAATCTAGAACTTTGAGTTTTTTCATGCCTATGAAAAAATTATCAGGAATTTTGACATGAGAATCACCAACCTTTTTATTAATGAAAAAAGATTCAAGCTGCGGACAATCCAAAAACCCCTTACTAAGATCACCAATAGTACTATCACGTACAAATATCTTTTTGCAAATTTTTAGTCTATCACGATGAGACCATTCCCACTTTATCTCATTTCTCACGGAAAATAAATGATCATCCCTATTTGCAATCGACAAAGCAACTTCTCGAACAAAATCATGCATTGAAAATGATTCATAGGTGTGACCGCTAAGTAATAAACATGAGTCTTTAAGGTCATAGATCAATGCATTTACTTTATCTCGTGCTTCTTCAATCGTATAGATTCCATGAAATATATCCAAACCTATAACATATTTGACCAAGTCTAAACTGAAAGCTTGATGTCTCATTAGACTACAAAGCAAAAAAGTTTTTTGTAGTTCCTCACCTTTTAAGTACTTGTAACTCAACTCCATCGTTGCATATGCTTCTTTTATATCTCTTGTGAAGTTTTTCGGGGAAGACCTTTTGAATTGTCGTAGGGCTTCTTTCCACTGAGATGAATGTCTCTTGGTCTTTAATGCTTTTGCTACAGTAACTATAGCAATAGGCAAACCTCCACATCTATTACATATGTTTTCCGCGAGAGATTTACACTCTTGTGTTTCAATAAAATCACCTACAAGGAAAAAAGTTATTTAATTTAAAAAAAAAAAAAATCAACAGATTAGTGAGAAGTAGGCTGACAATTATTCTGTTGAAATTAAAACTTTAAAATTTGAATTATTTTTTCACGTTATATTTACTTTAATTCTTTTTATTCACATAAAAAACACGGGAAGTAGAATTTATGTGTTAAGAAATTAAAAAGAATAAATTTTGCCAAGAGATCTAGAGGGCCAAGACTAATAATTAAAGTATTAGAAATTGTATAATTATATATAAAGAAATTGAGAATTCCATAACATGATCACCTGCTGTCGTCTTAAACAGTCTCCAACTCTCTTTACCATTTAAACTGTCAATCTGTAAAGGATTAGGACAACCCATCTTCTGCAATGGCTGTCTTTCTCTTGCTGTCAGCAATAATTTACATCCCCTACCATCAACTTCATCAGGAATTCCAACACTCTTTAAATCAAACTCATCCCAAAGATTATCTAAAATAATAAGGATCTTCTCCTCTTTCTTCTTCAATCGTTCATACAGCTTACTCGCTCTTTGAGTCTCTTCTTCGAATTTCACACCCAAGTTACGCGCAATTTCTTTCTGAATCCTTTCAATGTCTAGAGTTTTATTTACCTCAACGTAAACCACCACCTCAAAGATCTTCTCTTTCTTGGCTTGCCTGCCTATTTCCTTCACTAGAGTCGTTTTTCCGATGCCACCCATCCCGTACACCCCAACATTAACATTAGCATCATTTAACGCCTTGAGTACAATTCTGAAAGTGGAATCTCTTGATATGAAAAGATCATAATTTTTGTCAGGTTTGAGCCACAAGTCCTCCAGAGCAGTGGGATAGGAAACCTCATCGAAGTCCTTTAGTTGCTGCAGGAGTGGAGATATATTATCCTCCTTTATTACGAATGCTTTCTTACCATCTTTGTAGCGGGTGATCAAATCAGGACAAAATCCCTTGAAGCATCGGTCGTTTGCTTTCTCTGCAATCAACGGCTCTGCTTCATGAATGATGGAATTCACTTCATCCTGCCACTGCCTAACACTCTGTTTGATCTTTTCCACATTGTTTTCAGCCGCAACAACCTTATTCTTCACCTCCTCCTTTGCATCCTTCAGCTTCTGAACTTCATTTTCAAGATTGTCTAAGTTGTTCCTGTGGTTGTACAAGTACATAAATCGGCGCCCAATCGGACGAGCAAACCACTTGCCAACCTCGAGAACAACACTCACCAGACTCGCGATATCCCCGGCAGGTTCCACCATTTTCAGTCCGTTTTCCTTTCTCTCTCTTTTTGTTTTTGAAGTTTGAAAAACAGAAAAGCAAATGAAAATAGAACAGAGACCGAACAAATCAGAGAGCCAAAAAAAAAAAAAAAAAAAAAAAGAAATAAGAAGATCGAAGAGGCTTTTTTTTTTTTTTTTTTTTTTTTTTTTTTTTTTTTTTTTAAAGAAATATATATAGAATAAGAGGATCTAAAAACGAGAAATAATAAGATGGAAGCGGGTATGTTTACTTATTTTATCTGTAAGAAAGAAAGAAAGAAGATTGAAAAAAGCAGTAGAAAGAGGTGTTTAGAGAGGTGGAAAGGAGAGAATGAAGAGATTAGTGATTGATGAGAATGAAACAATAATAGCAATGACTGGAAACAGAGGCGGATGGAGAAGTGAAATAAGACTTGATCACTTTATCAGTAGCCATAGGAGGAACCCAAAATATAATTAACAAAAGATTCTAATAAAACTAAAAAATTTCATCAAAAAAAAATTACATCGAAAGGGTATCTAGGGCATTTCATCAAACAATTCATAGATGCAGCTCCAACGTTAAACACTAATTGGTAACATTTAAATGTTAGTGAAATTTTCACCAAAAAAAATATATATAGACCACGGAATGCATGTGCCAAACACTTTTATAAGATTCTACTAACATTAAACACTAATCGGTAACATTTAAATGTTAGTGAAATAATTTTTATTAAATGTCATTAACTCTTTATTAAAAATATAAAATAACAACTCTAATGTCGAAATCAAAGCAAATTTTGAAAACAACAATCCAACTTACTCCGCTATGCATAAATCGAGAAAAAAAGGGCCTAGGACTTTCTCTTTTCCTTCCTCAAATTTCACCCATTGGAGCCCAGGAGAGAAAAAACATAAGGATCCATGACCCAACTCCAAGTTAGAGGCCCTTCTCTAATCCATATATCCATAGGCTCTCAAAACACCAAAGTCCACATCATTCGGGGCAAACCATTAATCCAGCTAAACAGATCATTTTCCTTTTGAGAGTTGGCCAAGCCATCACCTGGACGGACGGTCCAGCATCTACTACTATCCCACAACAGCAAGACAAAACACCCAGCACCCACAGCCTAATTTTCTTAGTCCCAGACGGCCCATACACCATATCCTTAGAGATACAGAGTTTGTTGTTGCTTCTGTAGCAAACCACCAGCTGACTGCCTAACTATAAAGCATACCACAACAGCAAGACCTCTTCACAACCTTAGCCACGTTCCAAGGCACACACCAGTGTTGTGGCAACTGTTTGCTAACATCATCTTCCACATATGGAACCAGATTCCATCCCCAACTCATATAAACATCAAAACTATGCCACAACTATCAAAGCCTCCTGCCCATATATAAATAAGAGTACCATTCAGGGTAACAAGATCATTCCATTAAACATTTACAACCAAAACAAGTAAGCAAGCTTAATCCATCTTGATGGCTGAAGCCTTGTGTTTTGATGTTATTGAAACGATTCGTTTTATTAAAGATAACTAACGGAACCAAACGAATCTACTTATTCCGTTAATTCAAGACACCTTGCTTATACCCATCTTCTGTTAACCATCAACTAATTGTAAGAAATTTATCTGCAATCTAAATAGAAATACAAAGAATACAATGTTCTTAAACTATAAACCAATAATCAAGAATTACCTCCAGCCATTGAAACAAACTCACGGAGCTGTATTTTGGCTCTTCTAAGCTCTCAAGACACTCTAATATTGATGGTGTATTTTTCAGTATAATTGAGTTCTTGAGCTTAGGGACCAAAATATTATACATAGCCAAGCTTCCATCAAGCTCTTAATGACATTGCTTAATGGCTGCCGTAAATCCCAATCAATGGTTAAACAAAACGTTTGAAAACTGAAGCATTTGAAAACTTAAGCAACAAATGTGGATTGTGGACCATCAAGCTTTAAAACTGATGAAAATCAAAACGTTATCTACGTTACATGAGTAACGTAAGTTTTACATTCTCCCACTTGGTCCATATTTTTAACCATTATTTCATTAAGAAACAAATACACGAATCATGACAACAAGTCCTCAAAATAAAACAAGTATTATCTTCCAGGTATTACAATGCATTTGATTTCTCAAGTTTACTTCATATATGACAACCTTACTTGATGAATAAACTCTATGTTTATTCTTGGTCCTACAGATGAATTTTCTCAAAAGAAATTAAGGTGCACATGAATATGAGAAAACATCACAGTAAATAAGAGTTTTATTCAAACATTATATATACAACTACATAGTAGAATGAAATCCCATTTCTTCTACATGATCCTTCAATTTCAATGGTGGCATGCCTTTGGTCAAAGGATCAACGATCATCAATTCAGTACTTATGTGCTCAATGACCACTTTCTTTTCCTTAATACGCTCTCTTATGGCTAAGTACTTAATGTCAATGTGTTTATTTCGACTTCCACTTTTATTGTTCTTAGCCATAATGACAGCAGCTGAATTATCGCAGTATATTCTCAATGGTTTAGAAATGGAATCCATAATTTTAAGTCTATCTATAAAACTCTTTAACTATACACCATGTGAAGTAGCCTCAAAATAAGAAACGAACTCAGCTTCCATAGTGGAAGTAGCAGTCAAGGACTGCTTTACACTTCTCCAAGATACAGCTCCACCAGCCATTATGAAAACATATTCTGATGTTGATTTGTGTGAATCAACACAACCAGCAAAGTCTGAATCTGAATAACTGATTACTTCTAGATTGTCCGTCCGTCTATACATAAGCATGTAGTTTTTGGTTCCTTGAAGGTACCTCATCACTTTCTTTGTAGCTCTCCAGTGGTCTAAACCTAGATTACTTTGATATCGTCCCAACATTCCAACAACAAATGCAATGTCAGGCCTTGTACAAACCTGAGCATACATCAGGCTTCCGACAATAGAAGCTTATGGAATGTTCTTCATTTGTTTCCTTTCCAAATCGTTCTTTGGGCATTGATTCAAATTGAAATTATCACCCTTTACAACGGGAGCCACACTTGGTGAACAATCTTTCATTCGAAATCTCTCTAACCTTATTGATATAGGTTTCTTGAGACAAACCCAAAATACCTCGAAATCTATCTTTATGAATCTTAATGCCAATAACATAAGATGCGTCACCCATATCGTTCATATCAAAATTCTTAGAGAGGAATTGTTTCACCTCATGCAGCAAACCCTTATCATTGGTTGCAAGCAAAATACATCTACATATAAAATAAGAAAGCCATTTCTGAAATTTGGTGCATTCCTTCTTCATGTGTCCCTTCTTTTTACAAAAGAAACACTTGGAATCTTTCTTGATACCACATTGGGGAGGCATTTTACCTTTCCCTTTCTGATTGGCTTGATATTTTCCCTTTCCATGCATTGCTAGCATTGCACTTTCTCTATGTTCCATCACCAGTCTCTCTTCCTCTTGAACACACATGGTTATAAGTTCATTAATTGACCATTTATCCTTATGTGTGTTGTATGAGATTTTGAAGGGTCCATATTGGTGCGGAAGAGTGTTCAAGATGTAGTACACCAGGAAAGATTCCGACATTTTATTCAACCTCGAGATTCTTCAATTGAGCCACAATATCCCTCATTTGCATGATGTGCTCGCGCACACCTCTCACATCGGTGAGCCTTAGGGATGAGAGCTTCATGATCAGGGTGCTTGCTAGTGCCTTGTCTGAAGTGACAAATTGATCATCAATGGCTTTTAGCAAGTCTTTGACGTTTTCATACTGATCAACAGAACCACAGATACTAGCAGAGATTCTAGTCTTAATGAACATCATGTTGAGACGATTAGATCGCTCCCATCGTTCATAAAGCATGATGTCCGCTGCAGTACTAGTATCAGTGAGTGCTGGTGGTTCGTCTTTCCTAATAGCATAGTCTATGTCCATCCCCCCCAAATGAAGAAGAACTCTCTCCTTCCAGACCTTATAGTTATCTCCCTTAAGTTCAGGGATATCAAAACGAATATCAGAGAAATTTGCAAGTTGTATGACTGCATAAAATTATAGATTATATGCTTATGTTAAAACTGAGGCCTAAACAAAATATCATACTTTACCAATGTAAATCATGCTTAAAAAAAAAAAAAAAAAAAAAATTGAATCTAATGACATAAAAATTGCCTGTGGGCTAAATTTCTAATTCAAGCAGATTCATTTATTCCTTATGATTAAACTTTATGATAAAACTATCAAATTATTTACTAAATTCAAATTCTTGTGAGTAAATTATGAATAACTTGATATTTTATAATTAATATATAAATATAATAAAAATTCCTGTGGGAAAAAAATTATTATATTGAGTATAATTAATTACAATTAATGTCTAATATTCTTTATGTGATTAATCATCATAATTTATAATTTTATTTAATTAAAGATGCTGTGACTATTCTCTAATTAATAAAATTATATGGATCACTAGACATTAAATCTCATAAAGACTAGCTAATATTAGGAATTACATAATCAAGTACTAATATGTATTATTATGCACAAAATATTCTCATAAGCATAAATATTGCATAATTAAAACTATAATATTATGCATAACATTTAATATTATGCCTTTATCCATATATACTCATTCAAAAATTGCATGTAGAAAGATATAATCAATTCATGCAAGATAAATATGAGCATAATTAATTTAGGATTTTGCACAATTTAACTTATTCAAAAATGCATATAATTAAGCCAAAATTAATATAATATGCATAATTAAAATGAGCAAAATTAGAAATGGTATAAATTTAGTTTTACCAATTAAATGACAAAAAAACATTAAGTGGCTTGTTTGGCTCAATAGCATACTTTTTACATGAGATCACGGGTTCAAGTCCCAGAACGCTAGATCTAAATTTTTTTTGTTTTTTAATTGAAAAGTAAACGACATGTCGTTTTCAAAACTGAAGGAAAACTGACATG